TAAAGCGTTCAGCTGTAGCACCCTTCCGGTGCCCAGCTGCCATGCCACCCGAAGGGAGCACGAGGGCTGGGATACTGCCAGGTTGCCCAAGCCTAGACAGGGGAAGTCGAGTGGCGGAGGTCGGATTCGAACCGCGGACCTTCAGGTTAGTAAGCCGCGCTCTAACCACTTCGGCCATCTCGCCCCCAATGCAATATGACGACCCTTTGTCTATGTCTCTCGTGTTCCTGTCTGCCGTTTTGCTTATTATGTTCATTATACTTTCAAACACTTTAACAACAAATGTCAAGCATTATTCAACCAGGATTCTACACTTAATACCTGGATCGGAATTCACACGATTTTTTTCAATCAGTTCCTCCCACTGCCCGGCTTGTATCCCTACGCCGTTGAGTGCGACTTTGGGCGCGCTCAATCACAATTCATAACGGTCTAGTCAGAGGTCGTTGGGAAAATTTGGCAAGCGTCGATTCAAGCGTCCGGTCCAATTAGCACAACAGAAACAAAAGCCATAACCAACAACCAATTCAAAGAACTCCACACTGCTCGACCTCTTTTCCGACCGGTCATCCTAGAAGACACAATGAATTAACTGCTGCCTCTTGACCTTATTCCGATGTCACGCAGTTCTTGATCACGCTCAAGCGGGTAGGTAGCTGTAACGTTCAACAATGAGATCAATCGGCATTGTTGAGATCAATGTACGCATATTCTACACGTTTGAATCAAGATGGCGAATCTCCTCTTGTTTGAACTGTGTCCTTGGTTTGCGTAGACCTGGTCTGCATAAGGTACTGTGATTTGAACACTAAGAAGGATCGAAGCACAGGAAGTTCGTTTTTAAGGACGTTAAAAGATTTTATGCACCGCCATCAATCTAAAAATCCAAAAGTGTCACCTAGTGGCATCGCATGCAACGAAAAGTTATTGGTTGTTACCAATAAAAGTTCGCGGAGATATCGAACCGATTTGACTGCCCATCAATCCACATATGACTTGCGAGTTGGGCTCGATGGCGTGCTTCATAAGACCGATGTCTTCTTTTTGCATTCTGAGTTCGATATAGCTCAGTGGTTGAGAAAACCTACTAACCGGAAGATCCGTGGATCGAATCAAACTCCGGCACCTCGACTGCTCCTCCCTACACATGGACAATCCGGCAGAATCTCAACTCTCGTGCTTCCTTCGGGTGGCATGAAGGCTGGACACACCGAAGGGGTATTGCAGCTGAACTGTTGATATTTATATTTCTACGTGACCTGAAAGGGTATGTGGCGAAATAAGGTCGACCTTCCGCCTGGCACAATCCACTTCTATGTGATCTGAAAGGGTGCGTATGTGGCGGAATAAGGTCGACCTTCCGCCTGGCACAATCAGTTCAGATAAAAATGAGTAAAATGGCAGCCAGAACAAACTGCCATTGTGATGATGTGCAGAAGAGAATGTTTGGTCCTTGCGAAAGTTATGTTAGTGGAGAGTTCACGAAACTTGAATTCACCATTCGGACAATATTTCATCTGACACAAATTTTCATTGCCCTCATTCGGTTTTGCCGATAATGTCTTCAGCCGGTGGTATGCTGGTCTTCGGTGGTTTACCGAGTCCCTTCTCGCTTTTATTGAAAAACGCCAAAAAGGCATCCACATCATTCACCATGACTGAAGAACTCTCCTACCCCTAATGATATCTGCCACAAGACAACCCAAAAGGTGGTCAGTCATCTTGACGGCTCCATCTCATTTCAATGAGTTAGGCTCTTTAAATATTAGGAGAACCATCTCTGAACTTAACGGGACTACATAACAGCCAATGGAATAACCGCTCTCGTTGAGACATTTCATTGGTTGACAGATGAGTCGTATTCTTAATCTGTTTTTGACCTGTTTGTACGCGACAGTGATCAACAGATCAGCCGGTTCGCACGTTCATTGACTTTTTCTGGTTTGGCCAAGAGCACCAGGCTATCCAGACCGGGGTTCACGGTAATAGGAAGGCATCAAGGAGACTGAGGTTCACAACACCGGGGTTCACTAGGAAGGCATCAAGGAGACTGAGGTTCACAACACTTTAAATTTGTACCTTGACCGAAGATGAATAAACTCCGTCTGACAGGACTTGCCCACGTGCATCAATTATAATTTATCTATGCTAAAAAAGCATCACGTACCATTGAATATTCACATGATATGGGAACTTTGAAACATCCCGTCTTGCCACATTCGACCTGCTAAAACGACTCCTATATATTCAAAGGACCAAGATGTCAAATACAAAACGGGTAAATTATTGCAGAAGAACGGGCAGTCGTGCCTATTTGACCTTAGGCATGTTTATTCCAAGACCTGTAGGTCACCTTTGGAAATCATCACACCGCTCTGTTTGTGAAACGTGTTTCAACTCCCAGGATAACAGTTATGTGACAGTTGATGTTGAGGCCAACTACAAAACAAGATGGAAACATTGCACCAATGTGACCTTTTCCCTTAACCCGAGGAAGGGTGGTTCGAAGATGGTAGTTCGTAAAAACAGAAAAACCCTTTTTAATCCAACAGTTGACGACGTCCACCGGAGTTTTGTTCGACGCGCACAAAAAAGTGAGTCAATCTCAAACAAACCTATCGTCCTCAGTAATACATTGTACAAACACCATATTCTAAAACAATGCATCACGGACTTAGTCGACTTCGGATGGATTTCATTCATGACAGCAAGGAGGACACCTCCCTTGATCGAAGAAATCTACCAACAGACGAAAGCTGCACAAAATATGAAGTCATTATCCAGTGAGGAGTTCAGTGTGAGAGGAAAAGACAGAAACGTTATGACAACCGGGTCAAAATGTGCTTCAGCCTGGCTATCGCTTGAAAAGCGGGTTTTTGGGTGGCAATTTGGTATCATTAACCATTCAGACATTTTTTGACGTATTTAGACATAAAATCCGTGTAAATGAATGGCTAAATAGGCAACGAGGCCCTAAGCTGATTGCGGAGGAACGTCCTATTTCGTCCTCCAAGCTAACTAACGAGCCCGAGACCAGAACACCAAAATCCACCTCATCAATGCTTAATAATGTCTCGAAAGAAACTTTGGATTGCTTAACAGCGTTATGCAGATGTTTCGTCGGTGATCAATGTATACATCTTTTGTATGTATGTGTTCCCCGATTAACGCCACAATGAAATACAGCATTCCCAAATGACGGTAAGGGCATGTAGAGTTTGTTGTAGCGAAATCAGTCTTATTCGGGGGTTCGGGAGAATAACACTTCAGTCCGTCTACCGAGTTACTTATTTCAAATAAAGTAACATCGCAGTGTTCAGTGCGTTTGATGCACTGACCTCGGTGGAATAGTCCTCATGACCGAAAAAGTTGTGCCCAAAATAGAGGTATTGATATGGGTGGTTTGTGTCCATAAAAAGGATATTTACATAAACCATCAATTAGGGCACCGGTCATTCAATACTCCAATGAAGCTTTTTACTTGAGTTACTAAGTTACTCTCCCTGGTAAAATTCAGCACAAGGGCTTGTAGCGACCCGGTCACCCACATACTTGACTGTTCAGCTCACGTCGCTCACTGGATCACGAGACTTGTCTCTTTTTCACGCCCACAACCACGTCACATTAAGGTGACTCATCAGACGTCGATTGTCTGCACCGTCTAGTGAGCGTACCAACCACTCACGTGCTGACGCGCCCACGTACGCGCAAACGGACCTACATATAGGGAAACCGAACGCAGTCAGCGCACACAGAACCGCGCGCGCGCGGGTTGTCAGCCGAACACTCCAAGTCCACGGACAATTATGGAACACGGGTAGCAGCCAAACTTCGGAGAAAGCACATTCCAACCATCCGGACATTCACCAAGGGACTCCCGCATACGATAAGGTCCTTTTTGACTTGCTCCCATTCCGCATTGTATTTATTTTTATACGTGTTGCAACGCTCCAGTGTCAATCATACTAAAAATTTTTATTAATGCATATACCTGATTTGTATTATGGCTATCATCACCTATGCACTAATAGGTTCCCGGATAAAATTCATGAGCTCGTTTCTCTGATGCCACGGCGATAGCATTACTTATGATATCATGATAACAGAAATGTGACGTAATTGTAGCAATTAATCCACTGGCGATCGGACTGAAGCAAACATACAACCGACCGTCCATCAACCAGCACGTGTATAGATTTGAGTCAAATCAAGGAAGCACGCGCACTGGTCAACGTCAACTTAAGTTGGTAACACAACGATTGCCGCCTGCGATGCCCACGCCATCAGATGTGGACAGATTCAACGCAGTGAAATGACAATGGTCGAGAGATGAACAAGCTGTGTTGTGAGCTGTATATCAGCGACAAACTGACCTATTCTATTCATACCTTAGTAGCTAGGTTTAACAGTTTTTATTGATCCTAAGGATGGCATTCCTTTCCTAGATGACAACAGATAGAAGTTTTTCTAACCCGGGAGTTTTGTTACGGAGAAAAATGCTGACTGTGTCACAGCATTTCCTCGTTCGGAGTTATCTTATTGGACACAGCACAAACGCTTTGCATCAGCCGGTGTGTGGAACCAGATGACGCCCCGCGACTCGATGAAATGCGATGAAATAGTAATGGAGGAAACGGACAGTCAGAGACCTCCAACACTGAATACTTGGCTCATACGGTTCACCCAGTGGATGGGTTTACAAGTCAGACCCAAAGAATTCATACCTAGAACTCACCTAGATTTCCAGGAGAGACTATGATAACAATTCGATTCCCGCCCCAACTTCGTTTAAGGTGACGGGAGATTAGGTGCGGCTGATTTCAAGCTCAACACAGTCCCACTATAAGGGTGAATTTCCGGGGAATGACGATAAACGAAGGTTAACGGCAAGGTACAAAAACCAGACACGACTGCAATGGATATGCGTGAAACAAGGCGCGGGACAAATAGTTCGGTCCAAGGCAGGCATTCCTTTAGAACTGGCCAAAGTACACACATACCTGTGTTGGATGACCGTATACTGGAGAAGTGGCTCCCGATGGAACGAGGCAAAGTGTGGGTAGCTGAATGGGCCAAAGGTACGAATTTTTCATAACACATGGACCCGTAGGCTTTGAGACCACCGTTGGTTTGCCTAGTGGATGACGTAGTGGAAAACGCAGGCGAGGGAACTTGAGAAGTTTTCGCAATCGCATCGGTTGGTGTAACTTGGTGATACTTGGAGATGAGGTGGAGGGTGAAAAAACAATTGGCTGTCAAAATGCGAACCAAAGTTGTACATTCTATTGTCAAACGAATTCATTCTACCACCTGAAGACTGTCCGTGTAACAGAATTCCATTCAATACAATCTCACATGAATATCCAATTAGGTAGCAACAGGTGATTTATCCGTCATTCCGACATACACTCACCTGTTTAGCATGTTTCGAACAAAGCGATAGCGGAGAAGTGTTGGGACACAAAAAGCTCATGATTGTCCCGATAGAACCAGCGGCTGAAAAGTCCACAAAGCTAAAATCACCGAGTAATTTTTCAAAATGGCTCAGAAGGTACATGGAGCCTCCATTTCGATACTGATTCAGTTTCACTCTAAACCTAATCACCCCGGGGACATCGGTTATTATCATACTGTAGTGAACCCCAATGGGAACAGAAAGACATACCCTATCTACACGTAGACTGCCAGGTGAAAATGGCCCAGCTGGGTCTCGATCCAGTCCAAACTTTAGTAAATCAATCCCCAATCTCATATCCGTTCACTAGATTTAGTCAATCAGGTGCATATCTCAACAAGGTTGTCAAATTGTCTTCGCAAGGCCGGTACTTTTGAAAGTGAGATGCCAGTCTCCTTCGTGATACTCAGGGCCTTTGACGTTATTCGCTAATACATCCAGACAGACCTGAACACGGAAACAACATCGATTGTATTGACGTAAGTCATTTATCGTGAATAGCAGTTATCCGATTCGGAATTCACTCCACTCGTCTGCAATGCGAAAAGGCCCTTCAATCACAGGATATGCATTCGTATCTAGGGGTGTTTTCTGCGTGACCGTCTTGCCGAAGATCTTCTGCTAGCTCAATCCAGTAGATACGACACACCTTTAATGATGTTCTGTATGGTATATCAGCGAGGCAGGGGTTGGAATATAGATCGTTATTGCCAGAGCGAGACACACAGCACACAACAAGATTTAGCTACAAAAGCCATATTTACTGATCTTCTGAGAAATAGTTAGAGTTGCGCTCCGCTGATCACTTGGGCCTAATTATATCTAGCGTATCAGAAGTTTTTTTTTTACTATTTCTGTCCCTCACGCCCACCTTTGGTGATCACTTGTTCACTGTAATTGACTTATTTCTCAAATTACCGGTCATCAAATTCAATGACAGTCGACCTGATATAGGTGAGGCTGGTGAGGTTTTTCAGACGTGAGTTTTCAGATGATGCCATAGGATTATGCATTGCCTGTATGGTACACCGCGAATCGGAATGGCAAGAGGGTATGATGAAACGCGCGGCAAACTGAACTGGAATGACAAGTTGATGGTTTGACGGCCTATCTGTACTTTTGAGTAGTGTATATTACATAACAAGATACGTCACCGTGATAACAATACAATACAATACCCTGTAAAACGGAAACTGCACGGCAGCCTCCAGAAAGAAGTAATCATTCCGATTTCGCTTGGGAGAGAACTCCCCTCGGAGGTCATCGTGCCTTATCAACATCAGTTGTTGAAAACCACCAAATATTTGTGAAGTCACATGTCGTTTATCAAAACATCCAGGAAGTCATCCTAAAAGTCGAAAGTATATCATCGTTCGACAAAATGTTCGCGCTTATTCGTCAAGGGCAAGCGAACGTCATTTATGCTACCGTTAAGGAGGTTGATTGAGGCCAGTGAGTGGAGTGAAAGGTTCCTTGTAGAGGGTCAATGCTATTATGTAAATTTTTAGCTGGACAACTCACTTCGACATTACCAGGGGGCGTAACTTCCTTGCGGTGCTGTGCTGAGGGGACACAGCGTGGGATGGAACTGGATGGTTTGACAAGCGCCACACCAATCTTTCGTTCAGCTGGACTCTGTCGGGTCGTACCAACCACATCCTTACTCCCCTGACAGGATATTGCGACTGTTCCCCCGGGAACCCCCGGTTTTTGTGATCGTCCTGAAGAGATGAGGCCTGCCTTGTGGGTGGGATTCTGTGTAAGCAACCACTCCCCCGATCGTGACTGAATAAGTGTAAAAGATCCGCTTGGGGGCATACTCAATTTTCGTCCATGCGGCCGTAACCAAACCAGGTAAATCAGCACATGTGACGTGAGTGCAAACACGAAGTGAACACAAGCCATGGAGATCATCTGCCAAATAAATCATTAAAGATTGGATAGAATGTGTGAAACAACGGGTCAGGACATAGCACGGCGTTTGAGGACGCCATCGCAGAATAAAAACGGAGAACGAGCGAAGCAGGCAGATCGTAACGAAGGGTTGGTAAAACCCAACCATCCGGTCAACCTAAAGGCTTGGCAAATGTATATTCCCATTGCTCATAGAAGCCTGAGAAATTGATCTAGTTCGTGATGGAACATGAGGCTTGAGGCCTGCTATTCAGCAGCTGTTGTATGGCCTTAAGCCTGAAAACAGGTGAGATCTTTGGACTGTATGACACTTATTTCCTAAATGGACAAAAGGATGATTTAAAACAAAAACCTGACTCTTCAAGTTAAACAGTTCTGAACACGGCGAACCGTGAGTTCATCCACTTAATGCATCTCACCTGGTGATAATATACCTTAAGACAGAAATACGGGAACACTCATTTTCAAATTAAGATGGAATCCACGGGAGAACCAGCTGACTCCCAATTCAACCTCTCGTTAAGAATATTCTTCAACTACACGACAACCACCCAATCTTCCAGCTGTTTGTTTCTCACACAGCACTATTCGTAAATTCGATGATGAAACGAGCCGTAAGTTTACGGAAGGAACAACTAGCAGTCAGCAGGTCGGCAATCGCGTTGGAGGCGAAATACAGAATTGATAAAAGTAAAGCTTAACAGTAAAGTTCTCCCAGAATACCAACCCATTAGAACATCCTTCTATCATTGTTTTCGGATCATTTGGTCTCAACACCAGCCCCACCAACGCAGGAGCCTGTGGATGATATTTGGCTTAACGCAAGACACATCATTATTTCGCAGTGGCCTCACGGACACCTCACGTGCCCCGAACGGACTGATATTAGGACCGCAGTCTAACCTTGAGGACGAGACTGTATTTCTATAAAGCTGCGCAATTCTAGGGTGACTCAGAATTCTCATCATCATCATGCAGAGCATGACATCAGTGTTCAACACTGATGCTTCGCCGCCGTACAATGATGATTTAGTTGAAGACCTTTTGGTGAAGAAAAGGATGAAAATGGACAGGGAAGGTACTTAGTACTAGCATTCTACAATCATTCCGAGGTAACTACCCGTCCAGACCCTCATTCAGGCAATCTGAAAAGAAACTGACAAGACGAACACCACTGACATGGATTAGCAACCATAACTTGCAGCGTCTCCAACCACGTGAAGTGGAGGTCACGCAGTCCCCACCCGCGGTATGGCGGTTTGTGTACCTCGGAGATTCACTGAGCTATGCTGTGCTGCGCGACACTCGCAGCAGCATAACAGGTTGGTCAATGGTTAGAGGTCCGATGAACACCGTCTCCTGGTCCTCCAGGTTGGGGGTTGGAGCATGCAGAACCGGACAGTCCGTATCCAGTCCTCTTCAAAGAAGGCGGAATTGCACATACACAAATAAACTCATACCACATCGGCCGTCGCATGGTGCCATCAGCCGGGTCGCCTTACTTGCTGCATACAACAGGGCGGGTAATCGAAAGTAGGCTACTACTGACGCCTCCCTTCTTTCTCCCTCACATACTTTTTCTTCCCCCCCCCCTAAAATAACTATCTCCTTGTAGGCCCAGCACTTAGGACTGATGACGCCGTTCGTCTTGCATCGGTTTTGCGCACATCTGCTCGTCACATGGCGCCGACATCCTCAGGTATTTCCAAATCTATCTTCGAGCATCGACACCCGGTCTATCTGGCCGCCTTTAATGTGCGCATTCTGAAAAAAGCAGGTCAACAAGCTGATCTTGCTCTCACACTGGACTTGCTTGGCACCGATGTGTGCTGTGCATCAGAAACAAAAACAAGAGTTCGCAGAATTCCCGGTAGATTTGTGGTAAATTACCACATCGAGTGCTTATATTTCATCGAAGAACGGAGAAGATATAACAAAGTATTCCACAAGATAGCATAACCAGTTATTTGATGTTGCGTCAGCCTGATTGTGTGAAAAAACGGGAAAGTTATACATTGGACTTGATAGTTTAGATACGTGAGCGCTATTGATCGTGATTGGAGGATGCCTGACACTATCACCAACCATTGATTAACTGAACCCCGGGGCCCCTGAGAGGTGGCAATTGTTAACCCGATTGAGTTTGCTAGTTAGTACACTCATACTTCATTGCCAGGTCACGGATGATTCCACTAAGTATAGGAGAAAACAGCTCTCTTCAAGAGACAATCCTCCTACACGCAAAGTACATGTCCCAACCAGCGTAACCTATGAAATGCGAGTAGCTCGTCCCCGGGCCATTTTTCCTTCTCCATGAATTCATCAGATGTGTCTCAGTATGACCTATCCAAGATTCCCATGAGCTTCGGACGCCTCAAGAGTTTCCGAACGTCTTCTGCGCGTGAATTCCACGCTTCTGATCCACGAAGCAGTATGGATCGCACTGTCGCAATGCACAATATGCCCGTGACAGACAAACTGACGTCACGTCGGTACCATGAGTGTCGGAGGTTGGCGAAAGCTGGCCTAGGCTTTTCGATTCGATATACAATCTAGCCTCCAGCCAGTCCATCGGAATTCGCACAGCTGCCCAGATGGACTGGGTGGTCTTCAGGCATGAGGTTTAGGCTTGATTCCACTCAGTCTGGTTGCAGCTTTTTACATCTCGCGGGTGAAGCGCGTATCAAATCGTGCGGCAGAATTGTTTAGATCACTGATAATTATTTGCAATCGTTCCAAAAAAAAGTAAGCGGCTGCCGTTGCATTCTAATCCATCCATTGGTAGTGAAGCAATCGTGAGAAAAAACTTTCTATACTTCTTTGACGGGATGAACGTGTTGGGCTGGGACATTCACTAACAGATCATCCAACTAGGACGGAGTATTGGATTGTTTAGTCTGGGAAGCACACGTATTCACCACGCGTGAGACAAGAATGTTGTAGCTAATTTTGTCAGGAGGACCCTACCTCTGACAATGCCAGAAGTGAGGACCTACGATAAAAGTGCGTGAGTGATTCCATTCCGGTAGCTCTAAAAGGAAGCGTCCACAGAGAGACGGATTTTGAGAACCAATAACAAGAAATCTCCTTAAGTAAAAAATGGTACCCCAGATGTGTCTATTAGCATTACCACTGGATAAGCACTGACCTTGCATTCATGGTATACACAGCAGTTCCTTCCTCCCCATTCTCCTCTTCTTTTTACGACCCTGTCATCAACATTCATACGAAGCTTACTCAGTGAAACATCCAGCACATAACTTATGGCTATAATGAACGGCGTTCCGAACAGAAACATATGACCAAATAATCCTTCACGTCAAGGTAGATTGCCAAAGCTTCACCGGTGGGACGGTGCATCGTCAAAGTTTCTGCATGATGCTGTCTCTCGAAAGTTGAACGGAGCACGTGTGTACCATTCCTCAGTTCACAGGGCAGCCAGGTGCGGAGACAGGAGCATTCGGTGGGTTGTGTATAGATGACAATCACTTGTGGCTTGGTCAAGAGTTAGTGAGACATCTTGAAATCATCTTAGTTTGCCGTACATTCTATGAGAATGTTATTGTCAATAGACTATTCTTTTTAAAACCGGTCTATGTGTCAGCGAAGGATCCCGTTTTCAAAAGGGATGCATCCGGTGTTGATTATTACAAAACGATCATGAAAGACGCACTACCAGCTTCTAATGCCTGTGGGGTCGAAGTGCTCCCTGGGCCTCCGCTCACAGATATCGAGTACGCAGACGACATAGCTTTTCTGGGATCTGATCCCGTGGTAATGCAAACAATATTAAATAATCTAAATAATTCTGCCTCATGGTTTGGTATGCGCTTCACACCTGCAAAGTGTAGAGTACGACTGTAAGATTGGGTGGGCTCGAACCCTAGCCTCGTGCTTGCGGATGAACCGATTGAGATAGTAGACAAATTTGTTTACCTGGGAAGGTGTATCAGTCCCGGTGGTCTCTCGGAAGATGATATCATCATCCACATTGGGAAGGCCAGAGAAGCTTTTATGAACCTGCGTCATCCGTGTTGTGGGCGTGACATCAGCTTCTCTGTCAAGGGTCGAGTTTACAATGCTGCGGTGCGCTCCATATTACTATATGGATCAGAAACCTGGCCGCTACGCGCCGAGGACGTCAAAAGACTTTCAGTGTTTGACCATCGATGTCTTCGGAGCATTGCCCGAATCTGGTGGGAACACCGGATCAGCAATTCTGAAGTACGTCGAATGGTATTCGGGAGAAATAACTCACCCTCGATAGATGAACTGATCACACTGCACAGGTTGCGCTGGCTTGGCCACGTGCTGCGTATGCCAGTCGACCGACTTCCTCGAAGGGCTCTTTTCGCCCAACCATGTGAAGGGTGGAAGAGAGCCAGAGGCGGTCAAACAATGACTTGGCAGCGAAGTATGAAAGCCATTACCAGCAAACTCAGCTGCGCTGGTCACTGCCGTCTTCCTGGATGGGGACCCCGAGACGAGCCACATCAATGGCCAGAGACAGTGTCAGACAGGGTCCAGTCGCGCCCTCAATGGCGCTCGCACATCCAAGCTGTTGACTTCAATGCATAGATTCTTCTCCAACCCCCATCCCACTTGGCAGCCCACTGACAGTACTGGATTTATGCACCAATTTATCATCTCCCGCCTGCAATGCGCAGCTACGTACCCCCTCCAATCATCGGTGAACAAAACTGCGGCAGCTACAACCACTGCACGACGAGTACGCGGTTATTACAGCTGACAATGATGATGATTACAAAACAGAGCAATTCATCCTGAGAAAATGGACCTGGAAAAACCATTCCTCCGTACCCCGACTTTTCCCTAGGGAGTATTTGGCCATCTTGAAGGAAGCAACACTGTCGGAATCCACTGTGTCATTCTTCGGGTATTCTTAAAATTCAAAAATGTTGCTCGAATTTACAGAAGAGGAAGTCGGTAGCCCAGTTTGTGGAATTGGTAGTCCAATTGTTCGCCAAGCCTGACAATTGTGGTGCAACGAAACTGCTAAGTTCAGTGAACCACGAACCAGCTAAGGATCGAAACGAAGCGTGTTCCAATTGGTAGGAATATGGTTGAATAAGAATCGCGTGTTTGTAGCCCAGCTCTTGACCTTGTGAAAAGGTCTGTGATCAACCAGAAGACATAGATGTGGCAATCTTCCTTTGTCCCCGTACAAGGCTCGCAAGCTCCCGCGCCTTTTGATTTGCCATAGTGGGCGGAATAACAAACAAGTCCTAGGGCTGCAAATCACAACAAAATGAAGTCGCTTCACAGGGAAAGCACCGTACCTACAACTCCCACCAGGTAACTTAGTTCAGACATGAGCGACTTGACCGCAGGTAAACGCCATAAACGGTTATCCTTATAACGAAAAGCTCGGAAATTTCTGTGACTGTAATGTTCACAATCTGGTTAAAAAGGTGCGTTGCATTATTGATTTTACGCCCTATTATTGGAAATCCATTTACTAACTTGGAGTTCCGAGGTACATGCACAAAAAGAAGTGATTGTTTCGGGACAAAACACATTTCCAAATGGAGCGCACACGCGAAAAATGTATGATTCACGGGACGGAATTCACTGCAACAATTATTACACTTACTCCGAACAGCGTAGTGTGTGTCGAAACCACATGTGATAACCATAGACTGGAACTGAGGAATAGTCTGGTGCACCGATTCCAAGAAGTTCGGAAATATTGCCACCAGCTATCCGGTTCTTCAATGTGCACATCGATACATTGGCGACCAGCGTGGTCCCGCAAAGGAAAGACACAACTAATCGGAGAGGACTTATGCGGCAACCCACTTTTCGTAGCTGGTTCGTTAACGTGACTAACATGAGTAGGAGTATCCTCTTCGGTCTCGACGAAAGCATCTTCGTCTCCCCAATCCTCATCCAGTTGATTCCACTGACCGTAGTAGACAGACGGCGAAGGATTCCAGTCTGGAGGTGGATCGAAATTAGGCAACGGAGGAGTGAACATCTCGATTGCGAGAGTGTTATTTTGCTTGTTTTGTAGGTTTCGCAAAGAGACGGCATCGTCCAAGAGACCGACAGAAGCGTTGGGTGCAGACGCTAACGAACCGTTTCTGATGCGTGTCAGCAGTTCCTCTAAACGGAGTTCGAGTTGATCAATTCGAGACTGAAGGGAAGTAAAGTAAAGTTTGGGAAGGAGCTGGGATGCCCATGACGGGGCCAGGCTCAAGGAAAACATTCGGAACAAAGCGAGAAGTAACAATCTCGGAAAATGCTGGTGAATCTATCGACTGATTACCCTGCTATTTTGAAACGTGGCAGACAACCTGTTTGTAAACTTCAAAAAACCCACTCTAGTTGCTCGTTCCAAACGACTTTTCACTGGTTGGTCAAAGGACCCGTATTATCTCCGAAATACACGGCAACTTGTCACTGGACATTCTCCCAAATTTAGGTGAAGAGTTGAAGAAACATCACAGTGAAATCGTAATTTTATTGCTAAGCTTTTTGTCGTCGGCGTACAAATGTACACTAACTGATTAAAGTTTTCACTCAGTTATATACAACGCTCATTCTGCTTTTAGCCTCCTAACAGGTCCCTCATAGCCACTCCAATGAAAAGAACAACGAGGCTATAATAAATGCAAGATAGCTGGGCATTCCAAATTTCACTAGAAATCGTTCAGCTGTAGCACCTTTTCGGTGCCTAACTGCTATGCCACTAGAAGCAAGCACGAGGGCTGGAATACTGTCAGGTTGCCCTAGCCTAGAAAGGGGAAGTCGAGAGGCAGAGACCGGGTTCTCACGACGGACCTTCTGGTCAGTAAATTCGCGCTCTAACCACTTGGGCTATTCGTAGCAGTTTGCATGCAGGTCTTCAACCGCAGCGGCTGACTGAATAAACTGGAAAGTGTGGCATGAAAAACACAATGAATTTAATGAATGTTGGACATTGGTCACGCCTCACACACCCAGCCAACTGATGCTACAATCGCTGGACTTCACCACAATAAATAACACATGACGGGCGATTGGCGCTTCTTATCAATTGATGCGAAGTTACGAGTCACAACCGGTTCACACGTACAGCCGAGTCTGAAACCTGAATACCCTTGTTTCAACGTGCTTGCACTACAAGCACATGGTGGTGAACGCAGTTCTCCTTCTAATCGTCTCAAACACCCAGCCATGCAACGTGTTGACAGGCAGACACGCCTCAAAATATACACGGTGCGGGATAGCGTTATTCGATTCCGTGATTTACGAGGTCCGTGTTTCAACAACAGTTTCCAAAAAGACAAGATCAACACTACAACTACTACAAGATGTCCGAGAGGGACAAAATAAGGGGAAATGCGTACAACATATGGTGACAATTCAACTAAGACAATAACAGCTGTGCGCTCTTCCTCACACCTGAAATCCACCACGACAAATCATCTTGAACCACGAATGGATTATCCAGATAGATTTATGTGCCACTGGTATGGAGCTGTAAGCATTAAACAGCTTTCAGTGAGCGAAACCACAATGGTGGTGATCCTTTAGTAGTTCTTATGATGACTGTTGGTTGAGTCACGAGTCCATGTGCCTGAAATCTTTACACATCGATTATTCAGACAATAAAACGCTTCGAATCGTTCGATTCTTTTAATAAGATTGTAAATTGTTGCGCGGAATTCCACACGGATGCCTCTTTAGCACTCGCACTCAGATGCTACTACGGCCAAGAAGTTCATCCCACGCAAGATTGGCCAAGAATTCGGGACGCTTGCCGGTCCGGCATCAAGACGAGATCTGATTGGTCGAAAGTCTGGACCCAACAACCAATCATGACCCAGTATTGGCCGAATGCCGGTTGCCAATGGCGCATCCAGACAGCGTCAGACTTCCCAGGAAGTTATATGAAGCGCTGTACAACTGTTCCTGACTCCGTTTTGGGCATTAATAGACCTTGTGCACTTTGGTGGTTGTTTTGACGTGAACGCTAGCTTGGGAAGCTCAGACCGAGAAATAACCTGAGTAAAATACCGTTATTACATAAATAACGTTGTTGTTTGGATGAAGATCAATCAGAATGCCTGTGGCAGCACCAGATCCCTTGCCTGATGACTTTTTCCTCTTTTTGGAGAATTTTAAAATGGAATTTTCTGCGAGGCATCAGTGTAATCAGTAAGTTTATAAGATAGCTGTGGAATCCCTTCGACAACTAGCTGTCAGGCCACTCGAAGGAAGCACGGTGGCTGAGATACTGTCAAATTGCCCAAACCTAGACAGCAGCAGTCGAGACGCCAAAAGGATGGGTTCGAACCACAGACCTTCCAGTCAGTTACGTGTATTGCCTCCCACAATAACGCAGAAGGGGATAACTCGAGCTACCGAGCAAAAAATGAGAGGAAAAGAACTTGTGGATCCACAGCGGATCCAATCATAAGATGTGGAAACTAGTTTACCTGTTGTAGTTGATCACGTTCTTGAGCTCCTTGGGCAGTCGCTTTCAGCCAGGCATTGGTTAGGTTGAATGACCGGGACAGACGCTCCATCTGGTGACGATAGCTCTGACTCAGTTCTTCCAAGTACCTGTAGTGATGATAAAACAAGACGGTGCTCCGCTGTTATCTGGTTTAAACTGTTACAATCTGATATAGTCGAGCGTAGGTAATCCACGTGGAACAGATACAAAGTTAGGTTAAAACAGTGAGTATTGTCGGTCGCAAACCATACATGTTAGAGCTGGATCAGGCCAACGCGACACATGTTTTGAATCACAGTGTGATGGTCACGTGAACTATGTATTTTGAAGCCAGTGGTGCAGCGACTAGCATGCGGAAGCCAAAGGCAACTTTTGTGGGTACCACGTGAGTGTGGTGCGTGTACTACACTGACTAGATTGAGGTTGAGTCGCTGACGACCACCAACACAATAACTGTTGTCAATAGCATGTGTTCACAGTCCTAAAGGGCATGGTAGTTCCGAACGACCAAACTCGGACAATGTAGCGCAGTTTTAAAATTTAAATAGGAATTGGGGATTTGAGGACCACGCTAGCAACGCGCATTATAACCGGTCGAATAGTCAAGCCAGGTTAAAATTGTGGCCCATAAATTAGGACGAGATTCGTGCTGATAGAGCAACGAAACATTCGGACGATATACGTTGAACACAGCTCTGCCTAAAGAATATTTAGTCGAAGAAAGTGTGTCGCAGTCTTGTAAACGACTGTCAACAGTGAGAGGCTATACTTCGCTTATGCTATTGGACGATTAGAGCTCAGGAAGTTGGAAAATAAAAAAGTGTTATGACCAAATCACACACCGACTACCTGACCTGGGAGAAGGAAAGGAAGTAGAGGTACAAATCATACCTGGAAATCAGAAAGTATGAAGAAGAGAGAAGATAAAGGCAAAGTGCGGATATCGGTCGTAAGGGGTGGAGGCTGAAATTGTGATCAAAAGGGGGAGCAGAGTTCCTCTAAGGAAGGATAACGAAATGGTAACGCATTCGAGTCCGGATACAGCTTTCACAGGAAGGGGAAGAGCTTTCCGAAACTGTAACACATTACAACGCAAAACCATCGAACAATAACCGATAGAATCCGTTTCAAAGCGCGTCGAACATTCACATCAGTAGTTGTTAGGCGGAATTCCACACGGATCCCACTTTATTACTCGTAATTTGGTGCTACTACGGTTGTGTAGTCCATCCTACGCAATATTGGCCAAAAATTCTAGACGCTTGGCGGTCCGGCATCAAGACGAGATCTGATTGGTCAAAAGTCTAGACCCTACAGCCAATCATGGCACAGTATTGGCCGAATGCCGGTTGCTAATGCCGCATCCAGAACGCGTCGGAATTTCAAGAGTTGTTGCCGCTTACCTTTACATATATATATATATGGTTGTCTTGACGTGAACGCTAGCTTGGGACACTCCGACCGAGAATTAAGCTGAGAAAAATACCGTTACAACAGCAGTTCACAGGACAGAGCCGTCAGGGCTATCCAGTCGGAGGCTTCAGTTGTTTTAGTCCGCAATACACATAAATGATCTGAGTACTGTAAGCAAACAGCGGCCGACGGTCTCAAGTCACTAAAGAACCAAACAGCAGCCGAACCAATCACAATCGGACAAAATTGAACAGATAATGCAGGTTTTGTAAAATAATGACATACGCTTGAAATAAATCGATTCCTAGGGCGGAGCCATGCACCCGACTGTGAGCACTGACAGTGCGTGAGACAATTTATCTCCCTGAATGCGCTTAATTCGACAATAACACCAAGTCTGGATCCGAATCGGTCGTTCAAACGACTAACCGCGTAGTATCCTAACGGAGACGCGGATGCGGCCATTCGACAGATCGAGCATATCATTCATCCTGTCCGTCGACCGATTTGTCTTGCTCTTTATCAGGTGAGATCGTGCTGATGGGTTGAACGAACTTTCCGCCAACTTCACTTCACAAATCCACAGATTTGTATGCTTGTATCCGACTCGTAACAACTGCGCCCATTTCAAGCATCTTGTTGCAAAAAAAACAAGACATCACATGGATGCTAGGTCAGGTGAGCGGAACCAACATCCGTTCCGTAGCCTAGCTCACGCGACAGCTTATGCATGTTTCGAGCGGATAATTAAGAGTGCATGGAGCAATAGAAGTGACTGTCACGAGCGCCACGACAGTCACGCGAGCTGAGACAGTAAAGGTGGCGAGCGAGGTCATGTGGTGAAGGAAATCGCACACTACATGAGAGTGTCACCGAAGTGATCAGGAGGATGGATTGCAAAATTCGTCACGTCACGTTGTCAAGCAAGGCTAGAGGCATCCTATGTAGCACGTTCTCTTTTCTCAGTTGACTGATGGCCATTGGTCGAAACCCAGCTCTTCCCTGAGGTTTCAAAAAGCTGTGTAAATTGAACAGCAGCAATGCCAAGTTTGGACGGGGAGTTTAACTCAAATTGCTCTTCTTCCTAACGAAGATTAAAGATAAGGATGTGGAAACCGTTCCGGTGGTATTGATGGATAAGATTATCCGGGTCAATAGATCAAGATAGAAGTACAGTCCAACGGTTTCCAGTTTGCAGACGATAGAAGTGCAGTTGGAAGGAAGCCCGCGCGATTGTCGGCGACGGTAATCAGAGGGTGCAAACGCAATTCACAGCGTATACGGAACCGGCTCGCAGGGGCTGACCGTGACGGAGTAGAAATAAACTTTCAAGTCTTGAGGAACATCAATAAGAAAGAGATTAAAGCACGGGGTAGTCGAGTAATATGGAGCAAATGCTGAAAACAGTTATTGCTACCTGATGTTCAAAGGGTCTCAACAAAAAGGGAACGGTCAGTTCGAACTAGGAGCTCTCGCGGCTGAAAAGACTAGCTTAGTCGACATCAACGGGGATCAAACAAAAGCATTAACTTTGAACCGTACTTGACCATTTCTTGCTACCACACAAAGGGTGGACGAAAAGAACGCCACAGAAAAACCTTGCGTCAATTATGAGCTGTGAAAGGTGGTCCGATGTAAAATGGAGTCATGGGTCAAACTGAGTTACCATCTATAACAACGAATGTCAACTCGTCGAAGTGGAAATGATGGCGTGGCACTTCGATTTCTGAGATGAATGAGGAATTGAGCATTCGGCCGATAAAGCAAGGTATGTCTTCAAGAGACTGCTGAAGACCTGATGAAGGGAGAATTAAACCAATTTTCGAACTTACAAAGCCGCGGTACATTTGGTCCGCCCATATTGTAATGAAACGTGCCTGTTTTCTGTAACTGCTTACAAACGGGATATTTTCGGCACGAAGTCATTAACTTAATATGGTTAGTGAAAGCGCTATTTCGACATCCTACGCTTCGCGCATACACATGTTCCAGCAACGATCCCTTCGAAATGAGGGATCCCTGTGCCAAAAACCTATGGGTGAGCTCTGCAAATCCCCAAGGGCAAACCTATCAAACTTATCAAGATTGGTGCTTCAGTCTCGGAAAGATGTTGAATACTTGGCTAAGCAGTGTTGTTCGATCTAGAGTGCGATTCTGAACACAAAACACAGTGGGAACCTTCTTCCTTCATTCTTTTGACCGTGTTGGACGGTAGCAGTGAGGGACATCTACCACAAATATTCTTCACAGAAGTGATTAACCTTAACAATTGGCGAAAATAACTTGAAGTCATGGGTTGGGTCATTCATTTTAGTGGCGATTATCCCCCAAGAATATATGGTAGGACCGACACGAAGAGACCGGCCGGACCTTATCCTGGCCCAACAGATTGTGTGCCTCCGCGACCCATTGGAGTACGTTGAGGGATGTCCGTGCGACACGCACAGTCTCTCATACCAGGTGGGTCACTGGCTAAAAGGCTGACTAATACAATCTCCTGACCCTCCAGGTAAGAAGTTGGAACACGTATGGCGACTTGTTCTGTAGAGATTCAAACGAACTTGCATTTCTCGCCGAGCGCCGCTGCCTTGCAGACAGGCTTTTGAGCCAAAAACTTTGATTTAAGACAATAATAGTTCCCCTGTTTATGTGTGGGCGTCGTGGAAGTATCCCGGCCCATGTAAGACCATGAACTACATACGTGAAAATAATCGAGCTGAGCTGAGACGGCCTTAAGTCTTCAATCACAGTTGTCCCAGAGCCAAGGCTCGTGTGAATTGGTGTCAGCGCATCCGTAACGAGACGATTGGAAAACGAGATTTCGGTTGTAGAACGAAGAGTTCCACTCAAGAATGTATCCAATGCCAGAAGCCATATATTGCGTATGCCAAACCATCGTTTGTCGAAGACAGCGCTTTTTCTGTGCCCAATTCAAAGTGGCGGAAGCAGAGAGGCGGCCAACCCTTGATATGGCAGAGGGGTATGAAAGAGATTACGAAAACGCAGGATGATGTCGGTGCGACTCGCTCTCCAGCATGGTGACCACGTGATCTCCACAGCGCCTGGTTGGAGAACTGCAAAATATAGCCGCCAACGGATTCCAGTGACGTTCTTGTTGCCCGAACGCGTGCTTAGAAGTGTGGGCATTTAAGAATAACTGTGCTAGGTTAGCATTAAGTCCCTTTCTCGCCCAAATTTAATTTTCTTCACAATGAGGCCCTGAAGTGAATCATGGTTGTACGGCAGCGAAGCATCAGCGTTGAACGCTGGTGTCATGCTGTCGATGACGATTATTTGTAAACTCCCCCCTCAAACTAAGCGGGATTTTGGAAGGCTTGGATACCATCAGCGTTCAACGCTGGTGTCATGCTATCGATGACGATTATTTGCAAACTCCCCCCTCAAGCTAAGCGGGATTTTGGAAGGCTTGGATACCATAAAGTCAACAAAAAATCGCTAGTCACCGATTCACTATCGGAACCAACCGACATCCCGAACGATGTACGTAGCAAATGACTCTCCATAGAACAAGTCAGGGCTGCATCCAGATAACCTACAAGACTTCATCAGAATTGGCTAAAAGGGCTTTGGACAGATAAACAGCTGGAATGACATACCTCATGCTGACTGACACATTGCGCTCCAAAAGCCGAACACGATTGCTCAAGCGCATCATCACCGTATCTTTCCGCGACCCAGACAATCCGGCCGGAACAACTATCGTCTCAGACATGGACAGCTCAGGCTGACGAGGAAGGGCCGAATGATGGCGAATTTCCGAAGACAGAGACAGGTTGACCTGAGGTGGGCGTTGAACGAGATCTTGCTCAGAATACCGGTCCACGGTCAAAAGAAAGTCGGGTAATTTCGGACACTGCCGGGAGACGAAGAAAATACTTATTAAGAATACCGGAAACGGTGCACAGATAATCGTGGCATACCACTAGCCGTAGGAGACTTGTTCTAACGTAACAGCTGCAGCGATTTCACCGACCGTGGTGATTAATCCTTCTGAGGAAGAGTAAACCAGCTAGCAGCAAAAAATTACCAAAAATGCGTAAGATAAAAATAACATACGGGAATAGCGTAGCTAAGTAATACCGTTACAACCATGTCTAGTATCTACATGTGTGTGGTTCAGCTGTAACACCCTTTCGATGCCCAGCTGCCATGCCATCCGAAGGTTGCACGAGGACTGGGATACTGCCAGGTTGCCCAAGCCTAGACAGGGGAAGTCGAGAGGCAGAGGTCGGGTTCGAACGACGGACCTTCCGGCCAGCAAATCTGTGATCTAACTATAACCATCCCGCTATGTGTGTATTGTAAACCTTGATTTGAATCATACAGCTCAACCAGACCACACAGAATGAGCCAAATCTTCCAGCATGCGACTTTTACTTCACCTGTTACCAGTTTGGGGGTGATTGTGGTTCTTCCCTCCTTGTCAATGGCTTGTAGGCGGAACGAGAAACGTTCAGTTCACCCACTCGAACTAAAGTGGTCTGGTTCATGTTCGACAGGGTTTGGTAAGGCTATTGATGCGCTTGCTGACCTTTCGCAGTTTACGACTGAGGGAATTCTCCGCTTCACACGGGCCTGCCTCGTGTTATGGTCGATTTTAGACACCAAATACTACTCATGAGGTTGCTGAAAACTGATGAACAGCCCATGACCGGTTTTTCCATTCCTGGGACTCAGTAGGTAGACACAGCCCTCAAGTATAATTGAACGAGAATCGGAAGCAATCCGCGAAATACACTCATTTGCTTTTGACGGTAGACCTAATTGAATCCAGCTGAATTTCTCGTTAATGACGCTCTCATTCAAGTGAGTCCGCAGCACAAGGCCAACGCACACTATTGGTCGCTTACTTACGATGAAAAACACATCTGAGAGCTGCTTCGGGATCTCCTGAAGATGCTTCATCGAGAAGAGAAAATTGGCTAGGTTGTCCAGCAAGCTCACGTTTAGTAATCCTAAATAATGCCCACAGAAATTGGCTTGGCTGGGTGGTGTGATGCTGCGTATTCGAATTGCCAAAGAACTTGAGATTCATCCACCAGTTCCACATTATTGGAATCGTGGGTCGACAGCAAAACAATAAAACTGGATCTTGATAATCCACGTCATAAGAGCCGAAGACGGACACTCAGGTTTACCATGTCAATTCAACACTACAACTTAGTTGCGAGCTTTGAAGTGTACTGGATACCTGAGACATTCACTGCCATACCCCGACAGACTACGTATGTATGGGTTCCCATTCATAGCACTAGGGAAACTCTATGGACAAGCCCCGAAATTATCCTTCGAAAAATGGAAGCAACGGACCTGTACTGACCTAGATATGTAAGACGTGGTCTCTCCGAGATGACCATATTCGCAAAGTTTCAACTTCTGGGTTCCTACATAGCCTACAGGATGAAACGAAAGGAACAGTAAATAATTAACAAGTTGCTCGAATATTGTTCCTGACCCACGTCCAAGAGGTTAGAACCCAGAAACATGGTTGATGTTTACATTTCGTACTCCATGAGAATTGTTATAAGTAAGACGAAGATAAGAGTGGTTTGGCAGGAAAGAAGAATGAATGCTGTCTGGTACACTGATCCCTACTGGGTTTGTTAAAACAGTCCAGTTTGGCAGAAGTCCCTACTGAATTTGTCACCACCGGTCGATTAGAACGCACTGGAAGCTGGGGAAGGGAACGCAATACACACACACACACAGCAACGGACCTGTACTGACCTAGATATGTAAGACGTGGTCTCTCCGAGATGACCATATTCGCAAAGTTTCAACTTCTGGGTTCCTACATAGCCTACAGGATGAAACGAAAGGAACAGTAAATAATTAACAAGTTGCTCGAATATCGTCCCTGACCCACGTCCAAGGGGTTAGAACCCAGAAACATGGTTGATGTTTACATTTCGTACTCCATGAGAATTGTTATAAGTAAGACGAAGATAAGAGTGGTTTGGCAGGAAAGAAGAATGAATGCTGTCTGGTACACTGATCCCTACTGGGTTTGTTACCCACCAATCGAATTTAAATCTCCACTCGTCTAGAACACACTGGAAGCTTAGGAAAGGAAACGCAATACACACACAAGCGGTTACTTACTACTGAATTTTCCGGAAGAGACAGCTGATTCGGTGTCCACCAATTTCCACAAGGCGCGAGAGGGGAATGGCTTACCAAGGCAGAGGAAACTGGAGTGGTATGTTGTTTAAACTGGTACCGGTACTGATAAGCAACCAAGAGCTGTAGTATATTGTATTCCACCTTTGGCCGGACAGTCGCTTGTAGCTGATCAGTCGGGTGGTAACCGTTGAAGAAAGTGATGTTCAACAGTTGACTCGCTTCGGAGCAGGACTGGAATGCTGCAGTCCCATCCTTCCGTGGTATGGACAAGATACGATGGGTGACGGTGACTGGGCTATGGCCAAGAACTGTGGTGACCGGTTGGACTAGATGTTCCAATTGAAATAAACAAGTCGACAGTGCGGTGATTCCTCGTCGACTTCGATCCGACAGGAAGAGAGTAGATGAGTCCAAAGAGGCATTCAACAACCCGTATGACAGGAGACTATCGATTGCGGCCAGATGATCGGGACAGAGCTGAATGGCCGAAAGGTTGTAGTCCACATGTGCTGTTTTTTCGTAACGGGTAAGAAAGGCATAAAAACGTATATCCGGCGATTTCAGGGGAATTATTAGAAAACAGTGCTACTGAGAACCGAGGCTATCAGGGTTTATCCTTACTTCTCGCTTGAGCAAACCACAACTAGCAACGGGACTTGGGACTAATTGATTTCAAAATGAGATATAGTGACTTGCAAACAGGACGCAGGTATTTGGCTAGTGATCACTAAGTGAACCTCGTCTAGGATTCATATTGTATGCTGAAAAGTCCACAACTCTTGAGGAGCTGTTTCACTGTCTCATTAAAAGCACTGACATCTCCCATACCATCCAAGAATTCCGATTTCAACTGCAAGCAAATCTAGAATATGAACACTATCTTCGAGCAGAACACCAGTATCACGAGCACACACGAATACAAATGCTCACTTTTTACACGTATTTATCAAGTTTCCAATACTAGATTGAGTGACCCCTCGAATTTGCACTATGGTTTGGCTCAGCTTTGCAGGCGACATAAGAATTATTGAACGAAATGAACTTGAGAAAGAACAAGGATTAGGCTATGAGCTTTGGATTGAAGGTACCCAGTTCGGTTCATCCACACTGGCTTTCCTTGGCTAGGTCAGTTCCATGTGTCAGAAGTTAGAGCTTCATCCACAAACGGCTTGTGCGAAAGCTGAGTCAGACGGAAACCAGAGCCAAACACTTGTTTGCCTGTTCGATCAATTAAACTAACTTACAATTCGATTACGGATATCGGAACCTAGAGATATATTTCATTACCATCAGCCTACTAGTACACAGATGAAAAGCCTCGGCAAACGCGGGGACCAATGTTTTGTTTGATTTCCAAAAAAGTTGTCTTGGTAAACGGCTTAAACAACCTAATGAACCCTAGTCCAGATGGCTCAGTGGTTAGAGTGTCAAATTACTGACCGACAAGTCCGTGGTTCAAACCCCATCTCTGCCTCTAGACTTCTTCTGTCTAGGCTTGGGGAACCTGGCAGTATCCCAGCCCTCATGCTTCCTTTGGGTGGCATGGCAGTTAGGCATTGAAAGGGTTTTACAGCTGAATGTCTGTCTCTACTATCAGTTCAAATGAAATACAAGGTGAAATACAAGATGAGGTGGCATGGAGTTAGGCATTGAAAGGGTTTTACAGCTGAATGTCTGTCTCTACTATCAGTTCAAATGAAATACAAGGTGAAATACAAGATGAAATACAAGGTGGATTACTTTTTCGCGTATGATCACACCTAGTTTAAATCCTACCTGTACATAATCATCAGCCACGAGCAATTCTTTCGATTTCTTCAAGAGCAAGAGGTAAGCTACGCATATTATATGCAAAGACGCGTTAGCAGCAAAGTTAAACGGAGCGAGAGCTATACATGGAACACAGTATCGTGTTACTGACAGCAGCCGGATTCATTGCTTCAACAGCTTTTGCGCAGGGTCAGTCAGTGAATCACGATGGGTTGGGCATTCCTGATAGAAGCTTCGGGTTTCAGCCAAACAAATGAATAGGAAACTACCTGTTTTTAGGTTACTGTCTTCCGAGGGTCCCACACACTTGGAGAGGCTGGATGAGAGTTATGCTGCTGTTCCAGGAATGTACTCCGGTTTATTGTGCCTACCTACATGCCTTTGTAGAACAACTGACACATTACACAGCTGGACTCCAAAAAATGTTGCTTCTATCATATCCGCGAAATGCTTAGGAAAACCTTCGCACAGGCCACATATGTGAGCCATCAAACAGCACTGATCAAGCTACTGTAGTTTATAAATCTCTCAGCTGTGACACCCTTCCGGCGCCTAGCTGCCATGCTACCCGAAGGAAGCACGAGGGCTGGGATACTGCCAGGTTGCCCAAGCCTAAACAGGGGAAGTCGAGAGGCAGAACTTGGGTTCGAACAACGGACCTCCCGGTCAGTAAAGTCGCACTCTAACCACTTGAGCCATCTCGCCCCCACTGTAGTTCATACTCTGTTATTGAAATATTAACTGGGATCTCTTTGACGGCAGGTGTATCACAGGTTGAAAAAGCGACTCCATAAACTCAACTTATCATCAACAGGCAGAACTTATGAAGCTCTTCAAGTGGACTAATTTACACACATCTGTTAGGTCACTTGTAATCGGGGAATTTAGATAGTCCGATTGACCAGTTTGCAGAGTTGTAATGAGCGGGGGGACGTTGAATGGCAGATAAAACAGGACAGCAGGCTCACTTGGGGCAACCATTTCCATTTCAGACCCCCGAAAAATTGCACGTACATACACAATAACAGCCCCCGCATGGTGCCCCTCTGTGATGTCTATCCGGTTTGATCCCTATCTATACACACATATTTGGTCCTAGATTTGTCAGGATTCGTGTGATAAAGAAATTAGCAAAATTTCCGTAAACGTCTCCCATCCATAAGACATCTCAGCATAAAATTAGAAGTTCGCGGAACAATACGGACACGATGGTAAAGGGCTTACTGGTTTCGGGTACAGTAACTCGGAAGAACGAAGTGCTGAACAAATTCCGAAAAAAATCTGAAAGTAAGACGACAAGGAAAGAAAAAAATGTACGTCGTCAACAACAATGAAAACGGATCCATTGTCATAAGCAATTCATTTGAGAGCATAGACCACACAGCAGGAACGGTATCAATAAGTGCTTACTCGTTAATTCAAGTCCTACAGCAGAAGGAGCTGAGAGGACTAAACAGCACACAGAATGCAGATGAACTCGAGGGAGTGAAGTGGTTAAAGCACGAACTTACTGGCCGAAAGATCCATGGTTCCAACCTGACTTCTGCATCTCGAATGCTCCGCAAAAAAATAATACTAATTGCACAGCTTTAACATCCTTTTGGTGCCCAGCTGCCATGCCAACCGAAGGAAGCACCGGGGCTGAGATACTGGCAAGTTGCCTAAGCCTAGATAGGAGCAGTCGAGATACTGAGACTGGGAGTGGTTAAACACGAACTTACTGGCCGAAAGATCCATGGTTCCAACCTGACTTCTGCATCTCGAATGCTCCGCAAAAAAATAATACTAATTGCACAGCTTTAACATCCTTTTGGTGCCCAGCTGCCATGCCAACCGAAGGAAGCACCGGGGCTGAGATACTGGCAAGTTGCCTAAGCCTAGATAGGAGCAGTCGAGATACTGAGACTGGGTTCGAACCGCGGATCTTCTGATTCATAGGCTGGCGCCTTAATCACCACCCCTGTCTAAACTTGGGTAATCTGGAAGTATTCCAGCTCTCGTGCCTCCCTTGAGTTGCATGGCAGTTGTAAACCTAAAGAGTACTACAGCTGAACGATGTAAGTCGGTTGGTCGACCACCGACGCGCATATTGAGGTTTGTTGCCTAACCGTCTAATGAAATGGAGATCGGAACCTTGTACTAAATTAAGTTCCTTGGGAAATAAACGTTAGTCTAATAAACAGTTTAATTCATCGTTCGCTCATTTTATCGTACGCACCCACTCACTTCGTGTCATCATGTTGTACTTTTCCGTTTGGGACCGCGCCTGACGGTATAAGGTAACATGTGGCCACCTCCAATGTATTGCACAAAAGACGTGTTATATTAATTTACTGCTCATAGGCGAGGTTGCTAGTGAGACTGACTCCAGACACTAAATTTCTCTTCGCTGATCACGTGAAGGGTCATATGAAGTGCTGCTTCGCAAGTTAGCCTCGCTTGAAAAAGAGCTCCCGATCGAAGTGCACTTTGAGGGGCCAATTAAAGCCGTCACTTCTAAGGACAGGTGTTACTCCGAATTATCTCGGTTACAGTTTGCTTTACCCTGGTAGGTTTTATCATCGGAACATATTGAAAAATCAAACATTTATATGTGTGCTAACTTCCCTCTCCTCGACATCAGTCGAGTTTAGCTAGACTCAGACGTTCAGTCTTTAGAGGTCTGGGTTCGTTTTCGATTCAGGTTCATCANGGAAAGAGAAAATGGGAGCAAGGAAATCTGTGACTCACTTTTGATTTTCGCGAAAAAATTCCCACCTGTTTCCGTTACAGCTGAGGACTGGTCATCCGCCTTGCGTACAAAGTCGGCCGATGACTGGGGACTTGGAACACCCGACCCTGCTGAGCGATCGCTGTGAACGGGATGCATCGGAGTTGTACCAGTAGACTGGACTGGAGGTGAGGCGGTTGTTGTGGTGTCTATCGCTGGTACTCGGTCCACTGGAGCACCGTTCAGACCACCTACGTAAGATTAGAAAAAGCCGCTTAAGGTAGACCGACCAATTCGACTAATACACTCATCTGCATTACAGTTTGGGACTCACCTGGAACTCAGATGAGTTTATGACGAAAAGTCGGGAACTGAGCCTACCTGATAAGACCCAAGGAGGACGAAACCCGTTGTGAGCTATCAAAAAGTTATCAGCAACTCTATGAGTAGTGTACTACGTCTAGACCGAACTTCTAAGGCTTCTTCCCAGTTGCAAAAAGACAGTAGACCTTCAGGAAATCCCACCTGGATTCCCTTGAGTGCATATCTTAAACCAGCGTGGAGCTAACACTAAGTAATAGTGTTACATATTAGAGTCCGACAAAAGGTCAAAACTAGTTTGTTAAAGAGGCAGAAAACAAACTAACAGAGAGGTTACAATTAAGATCACTAGGCTCAAATGGGAACAGTGCGCTAACTACAAAAAGTAATAATTATATCAGCATCAATAATAGCCTTACTGTTGCCGACTCTGCATTTCTCCGAATGATCCAGTTTGCAAACCGCCCGGTCTTTTTCAAAATCTGCGTGACCACCGTGGAGCTCCCCGGACAATTTCAAATCTTTAGGACTGTCCATTTGAGGTTTCGTACGCAGCTGTGCGGCTCGATTGGGTAGACCTTGTTGCGGCCCATGGCCGGTATCTTCACCGAGATGGGTGTCATCTGTAACGCGTTGAGAAGGTGGAGGCAAGTCTGTTGGACCAGTTTGTCGCAAAGGGTCAACCTGAGGATTTTTCATCGATTCTGGTAGGTTCAGAACCGCCGGGAGTTCAACCGCATCAGTACCTGGAAAGGGTTGAAAAGACCGGTAAAAATGAATATGAAGATTTAAAGGCATAGCTAAAAAACAGGATGGAATTCTGATTGATGGACCTATGAGTCCAAACAGACATAAAAACCAGTAAAAGTGCTGTTCAAAGACCTGCAAAAAAATAGGCAAGAACAAGACCAATGATTGACTGACAATCCAGTAAATGACACCACACGTCAAATTCAGCATCGTTTGCGAGCAGACGCTTCCAGGCGTAGAAGTGAGGGGTAAACACCTCTTGCCCAAAAGGAGAGAGGATCTAAAGGGGAACACACTACCTTAGAAGTCAAAACCATGAATTTCACAATGCGATATGGGCCACAAGCCTCCTACGTTTACGAAGAGATTATGCATTGAATTTAGTAAAATCTCTTCATAAGAGACAGTCGGCACTTATGGGAAATTCGTAAATCTCTTGTTGAAATCTACCGAGCCGAATAACAGGCATGATTCCGGGTCTTGCAGACTGAAACACTCTCACTAAAGGACAATGCCTCCACGTGGATAACCTTGGCGCAGTAGTGGTTGCCGTGGCCAGCAGCGGCTGATGTAGAGTATGCCGGCTAGGTATAAAAGCGTCTTTTATGCTCTTCTGGTGGACACATCTGATACACGCAGGTGTTCGCGAAACGGTGATTTATGTCTCTTTTGCTATGTGGTACACAACGTTGTTCGATCAGTGTTTCAAAAAAGAGATGGTGCTGAAAAGGTTAAGTGGATAAAAAAACTAGCGAATCAGGGTTTATACAACTCCCTCTAAGTAAAAGTACACGAGCTGGAGAAAGTCCTAAGTGATCCGGAAGCATAGAAAACATATAAACCTAAACAATAATATTTTCTCAGATTGCTAACGCAGTCCAATCATGTAGCCCACAAAGCAATTAAAGGTTCTGAAAGTTTTCACAATCGCAGACAGGCTGGATGTTTTCAGTAAATATAACTCTAGCACGCAGTTACGTAGATACAGACCAATAATTCAACATCATCCATGGATGTTTACACTCAGGTTCGTTTGCCCGACTGCAAATAACAACGAAACTCAGCCTACAAACGGCCATCTATCGACCCTAGTTCGTCTATTTACGGGTCACGGGACATCAGTCCGGCTCTTCGAGCTCTTACAGCTAGACAGCGATAAATGGTCGGATCGAGCAGTAATTTTAACTTTACCGGGAACCCAAAATCGCTCACCTTGATGAGACCGGGATAAGCCCGCGTCACCATATGGGACATTCGCCGGGTCGACGGCTGGAACGGAATCGAACAGCGTGCTAGATGGAACACCACCGGTGGGAAGTTGATGATTGACTTGATGCATCGAGAGTTCATCGTCATCGTCATCCAAATCGTCAGATACCAGGCCAAAGAGACGAATCATGGAGATGGGACAGTAGTGTTCCGAGCCGTAGTGTTCCAGCATCTCAAACTAGTATAATATGACAAAGAAGAGAATATGGAATCAGTGAGGTAAATGTAAGTTCAAGAAGAGAAAAACCGGTTTAATTAACTTCAAATATTGCAACCCCACAGACAGTACTTAGTTAGTGGATAGAACCGGTAGGGAGATGAAATTATCATCATATTCATTTAAAGAACGTCACAGTAATATCTGGGAAAAGCCCGGTTACTATCCACCACCGCTAACTTATCGCTGAAACCGTAGAAACCAGATGCGCAATTAAATGCAAGTAACCTGTCATCCAATTTTGGCATAATTACGCAATGACCTGTATGTTGAATCAACGATGACCTCGTAATTTCCTGAAGACAAACATCCATATCTCCGGTCAGTTCCTTCATATCACCCGGAAGGAAAATTGAACAGTATGTACTGAGTGATCTGGAAGTCAAATCATGACCTTCAGGAAGGCTGTCTTTACCACTACCTCGTTTAAATGGCAAACCTCTGGTCTTTCAATTGCACTTTAGGCTGACAGCACTAAAATGACCAGGACATCCAGGTGATACCGATCAACAAGTAGGATTGACCCCCAGCCATCGTTCAGTCCCCCTATTCAAGTAGGTTGTCATCTAGCTCTGTGGACTCGAATCGCATGCATAGGTGTAAATACAGTTAGACAACAGAATGGATTCTTTGAGGCTTTAATTGGATGAGTGATAAACGGGTCACTCCTAAAGACATGGCAGAATTTACCACATAAGGTGCCGATCCGCCGCACAAGGGGGAAAAAACTTCCCCTATGAGAGAACAATCGTAGAAGATTTGAGAGCTGCGAAAAGGCTGACAGAACAATTTCACCGCTCAACTGAGATCAGACGCAAAAGGAGTGCTCTAGGCCACATTCACGTCATGATAACTTGGCGACTTTGTGGGGCATGGGCTTCGCATCCGCATGGGCCAGCTCGTTAGTAGTTGAGACTCAGTTCTCAGCTAAAGCGACCGATGAAGGTCAGCACCGTTTCGGCAATTACTTTGAGAAGGCCGAGCTCAATCGGCTAGAGGTATTACTGTTATCTGCGGTAGTCAAAGCGAGGAATACACGGGTCCCATATCAATCAATCGGACAAGGATGAATTGGTGAGGTTACTGATTCTTATTAGACGCACAAAAAGCCACCCACACTATCACGAATAATAGACAAAACACGACACAAATAAAAGAAAGTATGTACGGCAGTGAAGAATCAGTGTCAACACTGATGTTGCTGACTTTGATCTTCAACTCAGGCACTTAGAGAGAGAGAGAATGGTCAGTCAAATGATGAGGCTAAATGGGCGGAAAGTCAATTCGTAGCTTTACCTTGACATATTTGATCAGCTTGTCACTGGAAACGTCAAACGTCTGCAAACCTTTGACATCCTGTGCCGTGAATACACCAATCGTGTCCAAGGTCTTAGCTGGATATCTGTGGGGAGAAAATTGCAAACACTGTTCAGTTGCAAGCGCACAGTTGTGATGAATACTACCGGGTTTCGCCAAACCTGGAAACCAACAGTTGAAGAGTTAGGAGCACGTACTTGACGCAGTCGCAAAGGAGTAGTCTCGCATTCTTCCCCCTCAAAATGGAACGATTCAAGACACAAAATGGTTTGGCATTGGGATACGCCCGAGGAATCCCTCGGTACCGAAGGGGGAACCGTTTTCGATTCCCTAGAGAGTTTCGACTTACTCCTCAAAAGGAGGTATCGTAACGGTAACGCCCAAAGCTGTTTTAACTGCTCACAGTTGCACTGAAGGTAATACAACGCAACGATAAAAATGCACGGGAACTCAATATTTCTCAAGGTTCCCATGATATTTGTTTTCATTATTACATACGAACACATTCGTGTATGGTGGACCGTATTCAAGTTGGGCTGGAGGAAGAGAAAACACTAGTTCTTGCCAAATTAGATGACGGAAGCTGTTGCTCGGCTCCGCGTCGTGGATATGTAAGAATATTGAATATCTAGCCCATTCACTTTAGACGAAGTACAACTCTCTATCCACGAGAAACTTGTTGGGAAGCAGCCGGATACAATCCCACTAATTAGCGTCAAAAACACTTCTTAGAGTTCACCTTTCCATGAGAAAACAATCGGGAACCTACGGAGAAGGTGCTTCCCGAGAAAGGAAAATTGTACTTATAAATCACAGGAGGTTTACAGGAAACACAGAGACTAAAACGCCAGCACCTAATGAGAACGGTCAGAATCCGAATCGGATCCCAGATGTTATAGTTAAGATACAGGAAATACAGCATTAAGACATCCCCTGACTCCCTCTTAAGAGTGGTGTAGCTGCCAAACCTTGTGCAGGCTTCAGTTGACTTGGGCTCAACGGATTCCACAATTCGCACTGAGCTTCAAGCCGGCACTGACGATAGATGTTGGTTTGCTGTCAGTGACTTCAGCTCTACCAAGTCTATCCAAACTGACAGAAGCGTCTTAGTTACGAACAAACACACGTATCAACAGAGCGGAAATTTGGTTTCGTTCAAGAACATATGGATAGTCAATTTGGCAGACTTGCACCTGACAAAAGCAGCTTAAGAGGTCGACATTCTGTTGGTATTCAATGGAGTGGCAATGAAGAGCGTTACGTTCGGTTCTGTGAGAAAAACATATCGTCCGAGCTCGACGCCTACAGCTGGCACAGTTTTCATCGGAATGTCACGGGACATCCTTTGTTTTCTAATCAATCGCAAACAAGGAAGAAAAGATATAGCACGACTGGGCAATTGCCCGGATCAGCGAATAAGTAACCGATATTTCTCCCAACGGTACAAGACTGTAAAATCTTAATGGGACACACTTGGACTCGAGCCACATCTCAATGTGCGTTCCGATTTCATTTTTAGGCATTTAAAGTACCGAGTAGTTCACTAAACTTGAGAAGGGATCCACGTGCATGCCTTTCTGGACACAGTTTGAGGATCCCGCCATTCAGCAAAAGATGGCTTAACAGCACCATGAGTAACTTGCATGGTCTGTCAACTTACAGAACATCTCATATGATTGCTGAATCACGAGTGATCGCGATCCCAACGACCATGTTTGGGTATAATTTGTGCACATAAATCTATGATTTGCGGAATCTGAGATGATCAAATGAAATCGAGATGTGGATAGTTAGCAAATTTTGTAGTTTTGCAGCATCATGCTAATGGGATCAAGGGACATAATACCTCAAAATCCGCAACAGTCGCTTCGCAGATAGAAATGTTGTGGTGGGAAACAAAGCGTACCAAGACCAATAGACCAAGAGACGCCCAACATGTCGGACGAGAAAATACTATTGAATTGTTAGCTGATGGAAAGAGCTCGCGCCCTCAGTCCTTTAGGTTAACGCTTCAGTTTTAAGTGTTTTGATTTTGAGGTACGGTGTGGACTCCTTAATTTCTTGAGCTTAATCTTCGACTTCTCTAGTACATATCACTTTTTCAAATGCTAATTCCCATGAAAGAGTAAAAAAAATCGTTCAGCTGTAACACCCTTTCGGTGCCTAGTTGCCCTGCCACCAGATTGAAGCACGAGGGTTGGGATACTACCAGATTGCCCAAGCCTAGAAACAGGGAAAGTCGAGAGGCAGAACTCGGGTTCGAACCATGGACCTTCCGGTCAGTAAATTCGCGCTCTAACCACTTGGTCCATCTCGCCCCCAAGAATTCCCATCAAGTTTACCGTGTAGGAAATAGCGCTGCATCTTGGAAGAAACCAAATCAGCTGTGAGTCGAGTCGACTCAGGCATGTTGGGGGATTATTCGACCTTAGCACTATAAAGCTCAAGAGAGATCGCCACGCGGGTATTGAGCTATTCAGGGAATAGGGATAAACATAGCAAACCATAGGTGATGCGGAACACAGAGAAATACGCAAGACGCTCATTTCGGTTATTCAGCTACAACGTGTGTACCGAAGTACACTGTTTCCGGCTACTACAGGTTCGTTCACCGAGACTTCGGAGAGCAAGGGGATGGCAACCACGGGTCGGAAATGATGGTCCAAACAGTTCATTGACGTAAAATTGTTCTGTTTGTCTGATATGGTAGGGGACGAGAGAACTACGCAGTGAAGGCAATAGCTTTTAAACAGGATCGACACCGTCTGTGTGATATAGTTATATCTGTCAGTGTCATTTGCAGTGATTGGCCTCAGAGGAGTGACCCCTCTTTATGGATTTCTCTCGTGGAGGGCTAATGCTATCCGTCGTAAAGGCACCTTGATAAGGAAATGAGATACACATCCCTTGAAAACACGGCACACGTTTGAAGATAAGAAGCCTAGAACTTATGTGTAATGGGTAATTGCGCAAAATGAAAACTGTCAAATACTTACCGATCACTGACCAGAACTCGGAAACTCTTGACGCGCGAGGAGAACAATTCATAGTTGGCCATTTCAATCACACGCAGCTGAACTGGTTCACAGACTTCGATGACAAACCTACGGAGGGAAGAGAAGTCATAGGATACTGTCAATCCATAAACCAAATGAAATCGCAATTGCTTCAAAAGATAGCGTCTCTAACATGTACTTCCCATTAAAAAAGAGGACGACTCCGGCAACTTTAAAATTCGACACAATTTATGGGCTCAGGATAGCTCGGTGGTTAAGGCGCGAACTTACTGACCGGGAGATCCTTGGTGCGAACCCAACCCCGGCATCTCGATCGCTCCTGGCTATGCTTGGGCGACCTGGCAGTACTTTAGCTCTCGTACTTCTTTCGGACGTCGTGGCAGCTAGGAACCAAAAAGGCGTTACAAATGACCGATCTAAGGCCTTTCGGTAATTAGCAACTATGCATGTGTGCCGTGGACGTGTCAGGCCGCCCTATGCCAGATATAAGCAATCTAAAAGCCAGGCGGTGATTTCGATACATGTAAATTCCAGGTCAGCAGCCCTAAAACATGAAGTGGTTAGAGAACCATCGTTTTGACACACACTATGCGGTCATCCAAAGCTGTGCCATGGATAGTTAGAGTACTCATGAGGTTCATATATATTTTTAAGCGATCACTGATCATTATACCATCGACAATAGTAATTACAGCGGTTTAATTGTCAAAAACCGGGGAGAACGCCTGATTATAGGAACTGAAAGGAAAACAATGAAAAGGCCTTACATCCCTAGAGAAAACTACTAAGAACAAGATGCGTAACATACAGGCAGTGTTGTATCAAGATGCCTACAAATCGTTCAGCTTTACCACCCTCCTACGGCAGCGAAGCATCCGTGTTGAACACTGATGCCATGCTGTCGATGATGAGGATGATGACGGTGATGACCACCCTCCTGGTGCCCAGCTATCATGCCATCAGGAGGAAAGAAGACGGCTGAGATACTTCAGGTTGTCCAAGCAGAGACGGGCGCGATCGGGACGCAGAAATTGGGTTCGAACGATAATCCTTTCGGTCAGAAAGTTCGAACCTTGCCTACTGAGCTATCTATAGCTCCAGGATGCCTACAGCTTCGATCAGCAACGAAATAAATAGACTTCTCAACGTCTTGACAAGCCTCACCAAACGAGAACCTAGCGTCCAAATACGAACAAGCCGTAGCTGGGCAGTTGGACTAATTAATAACTGCGCCGTGCCTTCAAGAACTGGTTACATCAGGTGACTTTGAAGTGGTAGTAACCAAATCAGGTCTGGTCGCCTCGACAAAGAACGAAGGAACATTACAAAACGCGGAAAAACACCAAGTTGCACAATCAAACCTAGACCCTAGAACACTGCGAACTTGTATTAAAGTCAATTATAGAATTCATTCGATCCTAGGTGAACCTTACCATTTCTCTGCGCTACATGGGACATTCATGTACTCATCGTTATTCCCGTTGAGGATAGACTCCGCATTTTTGATAGCTTTACTGGAATCAAGGAGCTTCGCACCGCAAGAAACTGCTGCGACGTTCCTCCTGAGTGTGACGGGTATCGCTGACCGCAAATCGGTTGACTTCGGTTCTGATGGGGCGTCATTAGAAACGGACGGTTTGACACCGTCGACACTATTGGATCGTGCTGACTCAGCTCGGTCGGTTTCTGGATCGGAGAACGAGACACGACCCTGTCCAGAAGGCATGTGAACACCATCCCCATCATGCACGTTAAAGGAGGAGTCCTGTTCCGTGGGTGATTTCTCCGCTAAGTCGTCTGGAGCCAAACTTCCCACGTGTTCATTTTCTACTGACGTTTGGCTTTCACCACGTGCCAGATTATTTCCACGAGTGGCCTGTGGCTTCGATCTCCGTTCGCCGGTAGATTCGGACGAAGAGTGCACACCATGATGTGGCTTGTCGCCCTTCCCTTGCCTGGACTGTGAGATAGTCGACTGACTGGTACGACTGGGTTTGTCCGTTCCTATGAAGTATGGATACACGAAAACTGATGAAAATCTAAAATAGAAGCCGATGATGTCAATCATTGCTATGATGTTCATCTGTAACATTTCTCCGACGCGTAGCTGCAACACAGAGACACGAAGGTAACCAGAACAGCCAAGCCTGATGAGGAGTAATCAAATAACAGCGGGACGTTCAAGGGCTCGAACAGTAAACCCTGAACTGTCTTGAGCTCTTGCATCTAGACAATTGAGTCTTTATGTTGCATTGCAAAAAGTCTTTGGCGAATACTGTACCTACAAAAGCTAATTTATCGGTCACATGATCGACGACCTTAGCCTTGTGAACACATCTACTTAATCAAGCAGGTCACTGTGCTTCATTTTCATCCATCTTTTTTCACTAACATGGTAGGGATTTGAGAAACTACTCATACCATACACTCCAAAACGCTGTCATTCTGCTTCAGAGAAGAATTTCCTCCACTGGTATAAAACATATCCGTTGTGCCGAGCACGTCAGTCAGTTTAGAAACCAGAACGTGCTTCCCCAAGCGCGGTTGCAAATCGAGACATTCTGAGAAGCTAAAGTTGTCCCTTCTGGATGAGGATGTTTCCTTGTAATGCCACGCATCGCGGAACGCATCATCGATCAAATTTATTGAAGCCTTGTTTGGACGTATCAAAGGTTACGCAGGACCCACAGACCAGCAAAACTATTTGTGCGTTATTGCGCGGACTTCATTTAAAACAACACCCCAAGTATGAATCAACTCACCTTTGTTTGTTTTTTGTTCCGTTCCACCGCCGTTAGAAGCTGCAGCTCCACTGCCTTCGGAAAGCATAGCGTGAAACTCATTGAAAGTTGGAAGTTGATGCTGCTCTATTCCTCCGGTGGCAGCATCATCTAGTGGTGGGAGATCAAAATCGACACGATTCATATCAAAAACTGGCGCATCAGAAGCGGCCTTGTGAAGTTCTTGTCTCTGGGTGGCGGCTCCCGTGTCAACCTTGGAAGGCGCAGACCGGTCCGAAGATATAGTGGTTGTGGTCAATCTGGCGCTTTTTATTTCCTGTTGTGCAGCTGTTGGCGTTGCCTCCAAAGGATTTGTCTGTTGACAGTCGTGTACAGTATCATCCGTCTTGGTCGAAGTTGAAAGAACGATAGGGAACAGATGGCTTGTAATGACATTATTGGACGAAAGAATGAATGTGGATTAAAAGCAGACTTTTTCTTTGACACGGCATGTTACACCTACGAGTCATCTTCCGAAACTAAACAGATATCGTTGTTACTGTCTACTGCGTCGTGGCAAAATTCGAAGGCAGGGTGAGCATTAACTAAGTCCCAAGTCTGGATATGACTCTGAGCAATCTTGGTGACGAATAAACCCGTTTGTTTTTACAAAACCATAATGTCGATAGATGTCAAATGTGTCAAATGCTGAGAACACACAATGCAACAGAATAACAAATCGGCAAGTCTACCACCAAGGAAACAAAACGAGGAGGTCTGGAAACACCACAAACGACAGATTCAGCTGGGTTCCAGGTAAGCCTCTCGGAAAACCAAATTTGTTTGAGGAGGTCTGGAACCCCACAAACGACAGATTCCGCTGGGTTCCAGGTAAGCCTCTCGGAAAACCAAATTTGTTTGAGTGTATTACGCTAAAAGTAAGGGGCATTCCGTTGAGTGGTGGATTGTGAGCGTAGCGAACCAACCGTAGCTGAAAAATTGATCACAGGAAATATTTGAAACCACTGAAGCAGAACGTGAAATCCTGACTATTCCATTGCTCAGACGGGACAACTCCAATGCTTGTGATGAGTTTCATTCAAAAAAAAGTGTGTTGAATTTAGAGCTGATCACAGACCATCCGGTCACCCCAACCTCGTATGCGGACTCCGAAAGTAAGAAAGTACAGTTCCGTTTTTTTCAGGTGTCTAAACAGTGAACAAATAGTGAGCAGCTGTGTAATAATTTTTCCGGCTCACTGTATGTGACATGAATCGTGGGAATAATCGAAAACAGTGGTAAAATGAACAATGTTTGATTGACTATCGCAAGTCACGTGAGCATCATGGTTGCCACCGCAACACAGGAAAACACAGCAACCTGAAGACAATTCTTTTATTTCGAAATTTATGCATGATGTGCACAGAAAGAACCATTGGTGGTTCATAAACAGGAAAAACTTGTCCGAAAAACCTCTGAGTGTTGAAGCTGAGAGCCGAAACGAAGGAAGCTAAATAATAATCCTCCAGACTAACCGCGCGAGTTCGGTGGCGAGTAGGAATGGAACAACGTTGAAGGACCGATTAAAACTCAGCATCAGAAGTAAAGATATCATCTTAGTTTAATCACTCAGTTACAAATCGAAAAACAAGAATACGATGGCTTGATTCTCTCGGCTAAGCACTCAGAAATGGGATTCTACTTGGCGAATTCACAGCCAATTCACCCATCACTTTGCTTGTTTAATTTGACCCATTTTAACGTAAAGTTTACCACAACCAGCGATGGTTATGCGACTTCTTTCTGTTACCTTACCCCATGAATACAAAATTTCGGTAACTGTCCGTAAAAGACGGGAGTGCATACTTCAAAAACACTGTGGGAAACTACCAAGATGGTAGCACTAACCAGGTGGCTTGAAAGCCTTTTACACTGTACTAGAATTAAGCTATATCTATATGCATTGGCAGCATCGATCCCCCTATGTTTGGGCTCAAAGTTGACAAGCATGGCGGATTCGATTCCCCTGAGTCGTTTGGATATCTATGAACGTATATCGGTCTGCATTTAATCGCAAGGACAATATACTCCGTTCTAACCAGAACTTCAACAGAATTACTAGTTGGTCCCTTTAGCACTTTGGGCCGCCCATATCAACGACCAAGAATCTCAGTGTGACGAGCCTCTTGTCTGATGTTGCTCCAAGTCAACTAACGAAAATTCCCACTTCCCACTAAAATTCATCCTCTCACGAGTCGAATCGTTTGGCTGCAACGCCCTTCCGGTGCCTAGCTGCCATGCTAGCCGAAGGAAACACGAAGGCTGGAATACTGCCAGGTTTCCCAAGCCTGGACAGGGGAAGTCGAGAGGCAAAGGTCGGTTTCGAATCACGGACCTTCCGGTTAGTAAATCCGAACCACCTGACCCGTCTTGCACCTTCATCCTCTCACAGCCACCAGTGATGTGCGCAGTCACAAAAAAACCTTCAGCTGTAGCATCTTTTCGGTGTCTAACTGCCATGCCACCAGAAGGAAGCACGAGGGGTGGGATACTGCCAGGCTGCCCAAGCCTGGACAGGGGAAGTCGAGAGGCAAAGGTCGGGTTCGAATCACGGACCTTCCGGTTAGTAAATCCGCACTTTAACCATTAAGCTATCTCGCCCCGATGTGCGCAGATCGGTTGCGTGAAAGTTATCGGTTGAACTGGTTTCATCTGGCCGACAAAACGTCCCGCACAAATCTGCCGAACGCGACATCCAGGCAAGCTCAGAATGTGTGGCTAATCTGCACCTCCATTCCTTAGCAGCAGTTTGCGATTGTGGCGGCCCACCAGTAGATCAAATCACAACCATGCTTATCTCAGTTCACTGCTCACTCTCCTCGAGAGCCATGGTTAAACGAAACCGTCCAAGCCGGATCTGCCTGACAAGTTCAATCGTCATGATATCACTATCCGTCCCACCTCGACCGGTTGTGTAACCTCGGCGAGTTTTGCTCACACATTGAGACAACATCACCCATTTTAACGCCCGTATCCAGATCTTCCAAGTGACAGGTCAATCCGCCGGCACACTGGCGACGCGTCGGCCCAAAGTAAAAGCGAAAGTGCCCGTCTGTGTCGATTATATGTATGTTGTGTCAATGACTTCATAAGGCCAGCCAATCATCCCAGAAATTTAAAACAATCCGACCTCCAATCAGATATGGCAGATAAGTAACAGTACGTAATACTGGCATATTGCTGTTAATGGTGATGGTGGTGATGATTCAATATGGCACACCGTCGAAACTAACCATCCCCAACTGACAATTTTCGGAACCTGGTAGTGTGCTATTTCCGCATCCGTCCGTCCAGATGTCTTTGCCATAAGTATGGCTGATACGATCACATTGAATCAATTTGTACTAGTTCAAGGGGTTGACTGATCAAACAACCGGATGAATTCTGGGAAATTGTTGTGACAGGTAGCAGCTTACGTAAGCAGCATATTGACCCTGGTACCTAAGTGCATGAATTCACTGTGGACAACGGAGGGGTGATGCACTCATGCTTGAGAATACACCTCATTAAGATACTCCGAATGTCGAACTTTGCTCAATGATATAGTTCACATGGCCGAAGAAGACACGGGTTAGACTATACCATTAGCCAGTTAGTACACTATTGCTTGTCCTTATGACCAAGCAGGGAATATTATCCTGTTTTTGTCAAGGAGTCTGTTGTTGGTCCAATCGACCAGAAGTGTCACCTCAGTAACATTGTGGCGCCATTAGAAACTGCACGCTAGCGATGGAGCCATTTTCAGAACAGTTATTAGACCAACTTAGTCAACAAACTCACGGCAAGACCGAATCAAGCATTTCTGCAAGGTGCGGACTTTGTCGTCTAATGTTTCACGTTATCATTTGTCGTGGTTCTGTCAATCAATCAATTTATAAGCTATAAACCACGCACCACATCCACAATGGTTCCAGCTGCTACAGTTTTGACAACCAGAACGTGGAGCTTGGGGCATACACCCAAGCCTTGGAGGTAATTGCATATTCAGTTAGTTCGGAAATTGTGTAGCTACAAATCAAAGGTGATAGTTTTGATCCATGAGCGCAATTGGGCCATTTCTGTATTGTTGTCAACCAATCGGTCACCTCCACTCTGTACAGGGCTTGACGAAACGAGCTCCGCGAGGTAGTCAATCTTCTGGCATGCGGAGTACATGTCCCACAACCACTGCACGACAAGTACGCGGTTACTACAGCTGACTGTGATGATGATGATGAACCTATGAAGCGAAATTCATCAATCGCGGGAGTTTTTCCTTCCTGGGACCATCTGGCGTACTTCAGCATTCCTAATCCTAGGGTCCACCATACCCGACCAATGCTCTGAAGATAATGACGGTCAAACGCTGAAATTTTTCGTATGCCTCTGTGCGTAGAAGCCTTGTGTCTGGTCCATAAAGCAGTACGAATCGCACCGACTCAGTGTAAATTATGCTATTGACAGGCAAACTGATGTCACATCGGCGCCATAGGTATCGCCCTAGCCTTCTTCAACCTGTCCACCGGCACTCATACAACAACTGAGGCGGAGAAATTTATCTACGACGTCGACTGGCTTGTCTGTAAGCATGAGATTTGGGTTTGATCGCGCCCAGACTTGTAGCAGCAATTTACATTCTGCAGGTGTGAAGCGCATGACAAACCATGAGGCAGAGCCTGTTAGGTTGTTTAAAATGATTTGCATCTTTGAAGGACCTGAACCAAGGAAATTAATACGGTCAGTATACTCAATATCTGTGCTGGAACGTTCCGGGAGTACCTCCACTCCTGAGGTTTCGGAGGCAGACAGAAATTTTAGGCAACATATCAATAACAAAGTCGAAATGGAAAGGTGAAATAGGACAGCCTTGTCTTACACCACTGGACGTGGTGCACTCGGGTGAAAGTTCCGGTATATTCGCCCGCGTCCACAGGAGTTCGCATACAGCGCTCTCATAAGAGACAGATATTCGGAAGCGACACCTTTGGGGGCGACAATCAAAGTTTCTGACGACCAAGATCAAAAGCGGCTTTCCATTAAAAAAACGACCAACCTGGGACGTCCGAAGGACTGCCGCTGTTCGAGAATTTGTCACAATGTAAAAATATGGTTGATGCATCCTCGATCAGGGCGAAACCCAGCTTGATTCTCACGAATCTGTCTTTTCCGATAACTCATCGATTTGCGCAAAATAATGCCAGAGAGCACCTTAGACGCGACGGATACCGGGCTGATGCCACAATGGTTTCGCATGACGTTCTTGCACCCTTTTGGTGAAAATGGAATCGCGATCGAGGAGCTCCACTGGAGTGGCATTCTGTTTGTGCCAGAATCGAAGATGACTGTTTACTGGGATCCAGTCCAGTA